CTTCTCCGTAAGGACATAAAAATGGCCGGCACACCAGAGGTGGTCCTTCGGCCCATGTAGCTCGTTTGGTTGATTAGCAGCTAAGTGAATGTTAAATTTCTTCCAGCTGATTTTTTAAAGGAGCTCTGACTTTGGGCCTCAACTGCCTGGCTGGGAATCCTGTCCCACATGATGCAGACCTCCACAACCCTTTGTGTATAGAAGCACCTCCTGCTCCCAGTCCTAAAAGTGCTTCCCTTTAGTTTCCACCTGTGCCCTCTCTGTGGTGTTTCGAGTGCTGGGGACTTACATTGCTGACTGCAGCTGCCTCTCCAGGGACAACCCCAAAAAGTCATTTTACTGGAGCTGCAGAGCCCGGTTCAATTCCAACTGCAATGACCAATTTAAACGGAAATTCTGTTCATTTTCAGGTCCTAAAAAGGCAGTAATGTGGAACAGAAAGGTTGACTACAGATCAGATATCCAAACTATCAATTTGGTCGTCTCCCGTGAGAGTGGTCACAAAACTTTAGAAACACCCCTATAAACAAGTAAACTAGGAGTGTTGCTACAGAGCTCAAGAGAAAGCCTTTTCCACAAAAATACACTCACCTAAATATTTCACAGTATAAATTCTTAACTGAAGTGCATTTTAAATACATACATTAAGCAGAAAAGAAAGACTAAAAAGTGTCTAAGCTTAAGAGGAACCTTATGAGGAGCCTATGAATAGGTGAATGATTCATTCACAGCAGTTAGCGAATGGTCGTCAATAACATTCTACGACGACATTAATACTAATAATAAAACATTTGACACAAAGGCTTCTCTGCAAAAGAAGAAGAGGAAACGTCAGATATGGCAGTGACTTATCCAGAGAAGAGACTGAAACAGGCCTGGGACGTTTAACAAACATAAAGGCGATCCATAAACAACTGAAACATGGCCTCTAAAAGTATAATGCGTTTCACTAGAAGAAAAAAAGGTCAAATTTACAGACTTATAAAAGTCAGACTTATAGTCTTCTATCAGAAGCTGGCAGTGACCTGTACAGACCTTAGGTCACGTTCAAGACAGAACAGACTTCCCTCTGCAGTGGGGGTGTACTGTTCATGCCGTGATCAGCCCTACAGGCAAAGCAGATGGTGCTCGCATGTGTAGAGTTATATACACGGACATTTTTGCAGCAAGTTACACATGCCATTTTCAAACATAAAAACATTCTGCTTCCAGGTAGCATTCACCACACCACATTTGCTTCTCTGCTCTGGAACCTGTCCAGAACAAAAGCAACCAGATATGTTCTGAGACCCAAGGGAACCTCCTACACTGACAGACTGAACGAATGGAACATCTTTAGTCTTCAAACAGAGACGATTATGCGGGGACTTCATATAAATGTTCAAAGCCCTCAAGGGTATTGTTCACGGTAATCCAGCGGACTCCTACAGAATGAACAGTGAAACACAAAATAGAGGACACAATTGAAAAGGGCTTGGAAGTGCATGTAAAACTGAGAACAAGATGCCATTCTTTACCCCCAGAGTAGTGGGAGCATGGAGCAAGTTACCCATCCATGTTGTTGAACCCTGGCTTCTTTCAAGGTATTGCTGAACAAGATCCATGGATTGATTAGCTACTAACTACCAAATGGGTTAAAGGGCAGAATTCCCTCCTTTCATTTGTAACCGAGAGCACAATGTAAATGAGAACATTATGTTCTCATTGATGGGCGTCTCTGCTTATAACAGTAAAATAACTCTTCTGCTAATTGCGGGCTAATCTTGGGAGTCAGATTTGCCTGCAAAGTACAACATGTCAGGAGGTGGACTGTTGTGACATGTAGATCTATACAGCTGTTAATAATGAACAGGCTCCTCCAGCACCTGCCCCATGACCAAATGTGTGCCCTGATAATCTGGTCACTGAACCCAAAAGCCCTGGAGGCCTCTAGACCCTGTTTCAGAATCCAGGGGAAACAGAAAACACAAGAAAGCTTAGCAGTTTGAAGGGAAATAAAAACAGC